CTAAAGTTTGCTTAATAATCTTTTTTATGAAATTTCTACAAGGCAGGTTAGCATAGCATTGATGTTGACCAATATTATTAAAGTTATTGCCCCGGATTGTCTGGAATTGAGAAAACGATTTTGAGTATATTAGCTTAATGCAGCGTTGGCTGGTTTGAACCAAAGTGGTTTAAGCCATATAAGTGAACCAAAAGTACTTTTTTTGAAAATCTGTTTATTATAATTTTTTTTATTATTTATATGAATACTTTTAAACTGACAAAATGAAATTTTTGCATATAATTATGTTTACATTTTTTTTAATTTTGAGTAGAATAGCTAAAGTGAATCTGTCTTACTTTAAATAAACATAACATGCCATTTTTAAATGTTTACATATCATTGCTTCCCTGAAAAATATCACTGCTTAGCTCATGTCTCTAAAACTGCTTCACCATTGCTGAAACAAAAAACAATATAAGTTCGCTTCAAATAATTTATTAAAATTTTGCATTTTGCCCAGTTATATCTTTTATATGTTTAATTATTTTAAGCAGTTTCTATGGTTTTGAAAATTATTTAAATTTTAAGTATTGAAGGTTATAAATGGATACCTATCGCTAGTGTGACGTCAGCTAAAATTTAATTATGGACCTAAGTGACCATTATCCCTAAGTGACAGTACTTCTCAAAAAAGATTTAAATTTTTTTTTTATAATCCTTTTAGGATGAAAGGTTTGAAATTGCAACATTTTTGCTTTATTTGAAACAAGGTTTTTAGTACAAACATTTTCGCGACAATAAAAAGAAAATTCTGACACAAGGTTGCCGTAAGGTTTTATGCTTCCTGGGTAGGAATGTACTATGATATTTTCCTCTTTCTTAATATTTTGATCCTTCCCTCTCCTTCTCTTCTCAGTTGAATAGGATTGTACTATGATATTTTCCTTTCTTCATATTTTTCGTATTTAAATGTCACAAATATTTTTTAAAATTTTCCACTATTCTTTCTTTTGGAACTATGTTCAATAATAGTTTTTAGTTCCATATAGTTTCCTAACTTAAAAGTTTTCGATCTATTTGAAAATCAAAACCTAAACTAACGTACTTCCTTCTTCATACGCTAATGGTAAAAGCATGCAAGTGTTGCCATAAGTAGAGAGTTCTACTCTACGCCACCTGTAGCCCATNTTTTGAATATCTTAATTAATAATTTTTATATTACGTTAATTATATTATGTAAGTGCAGTTCCAATAAATTAGATAAGTATTAAAGCAAAAAATTATTTCATGCCCCACGATTTTGAGTATATTAGTTTAATGTAGCGTTGGCTGGTTTGAACCAAAGTGGTTTAAGCCATATATGTAAACCAAAAGTACTTTTTCTGAAAATCTGTTAATTATAATTTTTTTTATTATTTATATGATGTTGTTGTTGTTGATTTACGTCGCACTAGAGCTGCACAATGGGCTATTGGCGACGGTCTGGGAAACATCCCTGACATATGAATACTTTTAAACTGACAAAATGAAATTTTTGCATATAATTATGTTTACATTTTTTTTAATTTTGAGTAGAATAGCTAAAGTGAATCTGTCTTACTTTAAATAAACATAACATGCCATTTTTAAATGTTTACATATCATTGCTTCCCTGAAAAATATCACTGTTTAGCTCATGTCTCTAAAACTGCTTCACCATTGCTAAAACAAAAAACAATATAAGTTCGCTTCAAATAGTTTATTAAAATTTTGCATTTTGCCCAGTTATAGCTTTTGTGGGGAGTGAGTTGTTATCGACAATGTCAACCTTCATCTATGAAAAGGTACCCCTACATAGAGTCGAGTTAACATGCGAATTAACTAGTGAATTGTAGTTATAATTTTGTAGTGGTAGATACCCTACAGTACTCCCCCCACCAGAATTATATCTGTGATAGAATTCGATGAACGGATACCACTAGTTGATTGATTGCTGTTTTGTGAGAAGCCTGGAGAGCTGTATTAAGATCACCGTACTTTTTGAGTGCTGAAAGTGAGAGGTGTATTAACTTCACGGTCGTAGTCGTTCCCGTGTTGCCGTTAGCAGTCGAATGTATGCAAGCGGACGTTGTGCGTGATCGAGACTGAGTAGCAACAGTGCGAGGAGGTGGATAATGTCGCAGTCACAAGTAGCAAGTCAACTGTTCAATGTGGACCACCCATCGAAGTAAGCGTTACTGTCTAGGTAGGCGTGTTCATAAGGAAGTGGGCGTTACTGCCAAGGTAGGCGTGTTCACATCACGTCCGGGTCACCAATGTGGGTATAGTAGTGATCGACCATGTCAACCGTCATGTATGAAAAGGTACCCCTACATAGAGTCGAGTTAACATGTGAATTAACTAGTGAATTGTAGTTATAATTTTGTAGTGGTAGATACCCTACAGCTTTTATATGTTTAATTATTTTAAGCAGTTTCCATGGTTTTGAAAATTATTTAAATTTTAAGTATTGAAGATTATATATGGATACTATTTAGCTAGTATTTATTACATTTAGCTAGTGTGACGTCAGCTAAAATTTAATTATGGACCTAAGTGACAGTACTTCTCAAAAAAGCTTTAAATTTTTTTTTAATCCTTTTAGGATGAAAGGTTTGAAATTGCAACATTTTTGCTTTATTTGAAACAAGGTTTTTAGTACAAACATTTTCGTGACAATAAAAAGAAAATTCTGACACAAGGTTGCCGTAAGGTTTTATGCTTCCTGGGTAGGAATGTACTATGATATTTTCCTCTTTCTTAATATTTTGATCCTTCCCTCTCCTTCTCTTCTCAGTTGAATAGGATTGTACTATGATATTTTCCTTTCTTCATATTTTTCGTATTTAAATGTCACAAATATTTTTTAAAATTTTCCACTATTCTTTCTTTTGGAACTATGTTCAATAATAGTTTTTAGTTCCATATAGTTTCCTAACTTAAAAGTTTTCGATCTATTTGAAAATCAAAACCTAAACTAACGTACTTCCTTCTTCATACGCTAATGGTAAAAGCATGCAAGTGTTGCCATAAGTAGAGAGTTCTACTCTACGCCACCTGTAGCCCATTTCGATCGCCAATATATAAGCCGATCGAAATTTTCAATATTCGAAACTTCCCATTTTGTTACTGGTGCTGCCATTTAGTAGAGATTTTATGTAAAATAAATTTGCATTGTATGAAAACTAGCTTTTAATGCACTAGTATGTTAAATTATTATAACTTTTTTAGAAAACTTTTTAAGTATAGATGGAAAAGAATTTTTTTGCTAATTTAAAATTGTACATTAATTCTTTGTGATAACCAAACAGAAGTTACTGTTAAAATTTAAAGAGAATAATTTGCTAATTTCAATCTGCGTAATACTTGTTATTAAATTTTTCCCGAAGTTTTATTTGTACAGAGTACAGAAAGAGACTTTATTTTCATTTTAATGAAATTTTTATTTTATTTAAAATAATAATAAATTCTAAAATATTTTAGAGTTTTCAATATTAACTTTACTGCTAAGCAAATTGAGGGTGTAAAAATAAAAATTTACTTCATATATGCATGTTTATAATTAAAAATTATTTTTAGTATGATATAAATATATATGGATGTGTGATCGTGTAAAGCTAAGGGTGGTGGCGCTAGTGGTTAAATTGCTCTCGCAAGACTTCCGGGTTACTGCTTCCGATATATTTTTACACCGCAGATTGAAAAAACGCGCCATCATATTATTGCATCATATCTTTTGCAGTATTTCACATGTACCGAGTTCTTTCCTTCAGCCTTTAAACTTCAGCATTATCATATTAATATTATAATCATTAGAATATTTTCTAATTAGGCTAACTTAAAAAGATATTTTTAAAGATATTTTTGGCGACATTTTATTCAAATGTAGCCAAATACGGGATAAAATACAAAACATAGCAAACCTTAAGAACCCATACAGCACGTTGACTTCGTTATGACATCCTAAAGTTGTCATCTTTTTGATTCTGTGACTTCCAGAGGAAGTCCTATATTTACCGCTAAATGTCCTACGGATGTCATCTGCGTGTTAGAATGTCCCACCTGCAGATATCTTAATGATGTCATAACTAGGACAGTTTCAGGATACCTTTAGAACGCTTTAGAATGGCATTAGGATATAAAAAAACCCTGTTTAGTAAGGATTTAGATAACTTGTGGGATGCATGTTGGAAATGGTAGGATAGTAATAGGAGGGTGTCTTATTTTGAAAATAAATTTCATCTTCGAAATTTTTATTAATTTTGGCAACTTAAATAAGGTTTTTCTTTTAAATTTACTGAATTAGAGGGCAGAAAAATGTTTTCTAAATGAAAAAAAAGGTGATAGTTTTTAATTTGTATACCACTCCATCTCGACTCAATTTTTCCAGAAAAATGACTCACAATAATTACTCATAATAATTAATTACTCACAATAAGATATTAACTTTCCAAAATTTTTTTCGGCCTTACAACCTCTGAGAATCAATACATTTCTAAAAGCTCTTATGAATGGTACAATTATGTTTAGATTTGAACCCAAATTATAATAACAAAACTGCATAGAATATTAGGCTTGTTAACACATAGCCTCGTAGTCATAACATAAGCGGAGGGATACACCGGAAATTTTCTAAGTTTCTTCCGGTTTAAGGACGCTTGTTATTGGCGATCGAAATGGGCTGCAGGTGGCGNTTCTAAATTTCTTCCGGTTTAAGGACGCTTGTTATTGTTTACATTAGGCCACCCATAGAATAAATAGCTCGAATATTATTTTCTTATTTAATGAAGAAATTGAATTAAACAGTGTACGTCTTAGATTGCCATGTTAAGAATAAAAAAATTTCGCGAAAATTAAGACTGCACCAGCTACTAGCGCTAAAGTGTCACTTTTGGTTTTGACGTATGTCATGAATATGTCTCTACCCGTAACCCGCAGACTTCATTAATTATGAGATTAGAGCTATAAGCTAACACAAAAATCTCGTAAAATTTTTTTAAAATTACAAGCTAAAGCAGTCAAAATAAATACATTAGCGGAATGAAAAAATGTGTTTTAAGTATAAAGAACCGTCACATCAAATAAAAAGTTATATGCGACACCTGAAAAAGTGATAAATTAGTTTCTAAACTCAAATTGTATGCTTTCATAAGTCTATAAAATGTCCAAATCAGATGACGATCTTAAAAATGAAGAATCAAAAGAAGAGTATGGTGTGGTTGAATCTGATTCGTCCGAATATAGCTGTACTGGAATTTTTAGTGTGCCGTCAATTGACGATCTATTATCAACAATTGACCGATCAATTATTCCCGAAGAGGGTAGTCTTTCTAGGAGTGACTTTAGGTCAGCTTCAATTTCTTCAACGCAACAGTCAAGCGATACTATACCAAAGGAACCGAATCTTTCGGAATTTGCTGATGTAGAAATCCTGGAAAAAAGCGAATCTTCGAAATTCGACAATCCTAATTTCCCAGAGCATATTTCACCATCAAATTTTGATCCTTCTGAGGACCATTTAGAAGCAGATTTTGGTTTTATTAATATGAAAAACAATAAATTTGCATCTTCGAATAAGAGTAGAAGTATTTCATCTCACTCAAACTTTTCTGAATGTAAGGTATCCTCTGATTCTCAAACTGACGTGTTATCAATCCTTATTGACGAAACTGATGAAAACCTTACAATAAATAATTCCATTATATCAAATCAAGATATCTTGTCTTTGGTTAAACCTTTCAAGATAGTTTTGAATAGGCTTACAAAGGAAGAATTAACAATTTATGGAAGTGTAAGCAAACAGAATGATGTAGTTTGTACATTGGAAACATCTTTATTTCCATATGACACTGATGATAGTGATGTAATTTCAAAAAGTGATAATGTAAGAACTAATAAAAAGAAAAAAATAAGTCTCACTGATTCATCAGAAGAAGGTGAAAATAGATTGGAGACTTCAACAAAAAAATTACATAAGTCCACTTTTAAAAAAGTTCTTAAAAGTGGAATGGCAACAAATGAACTTTCCTCTTTAGGAATTAAACAAAAGAAAAATAAACATAAAGATCTACCATCTGCCAAACAAAAGAAATATTCTCAAAAGAGGGGTAGACCTAAAAAATTAACCTCTTTTGAGCCAGATGAATTATCTGAAACTGAAAAAGAAACTGCTGTTGATAATTTACAGTATAAAAATTTTTTGCATGTAGCTGAAGATAGTGATAATACAAGTGATGATGATGTCAGTATGAGACTATCTGTTGAAAAGATAAATCGCAGAAAATTATCCTCAACTGGAGAAGATGTTGATGAAAATGAAGAAAAGAATTCTACAAAAAATATTACTAGCAAATTAACTTCTAATAAATCAATAAAAAATCAAACTGCAACAAGTGAAAATTTAGAAAAAGCTAGAAAAGATCAGCTTAAAAAATTATTTTTTTCCGAACACGAGACACGTGCTGAAACTAAAAAAAAAACAGTTTTTAAGACTTATAGGTCCAGAAAACTTTCATTTAATTCTGGAACTGATGATAGTGATATAAATTCAAGTGCTAGTGACATTGAAGAGGAATTACCTGATGAAGTTAAAAAACTCACAGAAGGTATAGAATTAAAAAATATAGAATTGCCAATAAATAAAAAAGTTATGAAGACAAAGTCAAAATTTGTGAAGTCTTATGCACTTACTGCATCGAAGTTAGTGTTTACAAGAAATCCATTACCAAATTTTAATTATAAGGAAAATGTTTCTGAAAATGAGACATCTGCAAATGATCTTTGTTCTACAATTAAACCATGCAGAGTTGTCTTGTATAAACTATCTGAGGAGGAAATAAATTTTTCGAAGCTTAATAACTCATCCAATGAGGTTCACAAAACAAAAACATTACTATGCGCCAAAGGGGGGAGCAAGTCAAATGTTGAAGCATCAAATGGATTTTCATACTCATCTGAAAAACCAATTTTTAAAAGTCTAAAAAATAGAAAATTATCTGCATCAACAGAGTCTAGCAGAAAGAGTTGTGAATCAACTGACAGTAGCCTACCTAGTATTCCGATTCTTGATAAATTATTTTCTAAAAATAGGAGGTATGGAAAGTTAAAATCATCTGTAAAACAATCTCAACAAAAGTCTTCATCAATGGCTTTCTTTAAAGCCTCACCAGACAAAAATGGAAACGAAGATGGCTTATGTATTCCGCTTACATCTGATGTAGATATATCTGAGGAATCAGAAAATGAAAGTAAAAAAGCTAAATTATTGAAGAAAAAATCTCATCAAAAGTCATCATCTAAAATGGCCACCCAAGACAAAGATGAAAATGCAAAAAGCTTGTATACTCAGGATGCATCAGATATAGATTCATCTGAAGAATCGGAATATGAAAGTAAAAAACCAGAGTCTTTGAAGAAAAAATTGCATCAAAAGTCATCATCTAAAAAGAGCACAGCAGAGAAAAATACAAGTGCTAAAAGCTTTGATACTTCACATACATCTAATGGAGAGATATCTGAGGAATCGGAACATGAAGATAAAAAACCTGATTCATTCAAGAAGAAATTGCATCAAAAGTCATCACTCAAAAAAGCTGCACAAGATAAAGATGTAAGTAAAAACTTAGATACTCTGTATACATCTGATGTAGATATATCTGAGGAATTCGAACTTGAAAGTAAAAAATTTGAATCATCCAAGAAAAAATCACACCAAAAGTCATCATCTAAAATGGCCTCAGAAAACAAAGATGCAAATGCAAAAAGCTTGTATACTAAAACTGCATCTGATGTAGATTCATCTGAACATGAAAGTAAAAAACTTGAGTGTTCCAAGAAAAATTTGCATCAAAAGTCATCATCTAAAATGATCACACAAAAGAAATTTACAAGAACAAAAAGCTTAAATTCTCCACAAGCATCTGATGTAGATATATTTGAGGAATCGGAACATGAAGGTAAAAAACCTAAATCATCCAAGAAAAAATCTCATCAAAAGTCATTATTCAAAAACGCTGCAGAGGATGAAAATTCAAGTGCTAAAAGCTTAGATAGTCTGCACGCATCTGATATAGATTCATCTGAAGAATCGGAATATGAAAGTAAAAAGCCATTGTCTTTCGAAAAAAAATCACATAGGAAGACATCGCTCAAAAAAGCTGCAGAAGATAAAAATTCAAGTACAGAAAGCTTTAATACTCCTCATACATTTGATGTAGATATATCTGAGGAATCACAATATGAAGATAAAAAATCTGAATCATTCAAGAAAAAATCGCATCAAACTACATCACTCAACAAAGTTGCAGAAGATGACAATTCAAGTACAAAAAGCTTTAATACTCCACATACATCTGATGTAGATATATCTGAGGAATCGGAACATGAAGATAAAAAATCTGAATCATTCAAGAAAAAATCACATCAAAAGACATCGCTCAGAAAAGCTGCAGAAGATGACAATTCCAGTACAAAAAGCTTTCATACTCCACATACATCTGATGTAGATATATCTGAGGAATCGGAACACAAAGGTAAAAAACTTGAATCATCCAAGAAGAAATTGCATATAATATCATCAACCAAAAATGTGTCACAAGACAAAGATATGAGTGAAGAAGGCTTACTCACAGATCTTACATCTGATGTTGATATATTTGAGGAGTCAGAAAATGAAATTATAAAATCTGGAAAAAATCTTGTATCATTAATGAAACCATGCAAAGTCATTTTAAATAAAATAAATGTTTCAGAATATTTCATTGTTAAAGAACCCTCTGAGAAACAGAATGTTTTAAATAACAAAAGAATTATTTCCTCATCTGATGAGGAAAGCGATGCTTTAGAGTCTTTATCAACTTCTAATCTAATTAAAACAAATAAAAGAGCACGGTTGGTGACGTCCAGCAATGTTACAGGCATTCATAGGATGCGTGGAAAAATAAATAAAAAAATTCTATTATCAGGTAGGGATGATAGAATTACCGTAAAGAATGCATCAACTTCTAAAAATCAGGAAATTGATAATTCAAAAACACTATCTTATTTTGTAAATTGTATTGAAAAAGTTTATAAAACACATAAAAAGAGAAATAAGGGAATTGTTTCATCTGATGATGATGAAATCATATCAGTTAAGTCTACATCAAATCTAGAAAAAACAAATGCTAAAATTGTATTAGCGAGACAGTCATCTCCTTCCTCTATAAACAGTGTCAATGAAATATCTGAAAAAAGAGGTAAGGAAATGAGTCTATCATTATCTGATGATAGCGTTTCATTTAAAAACAAATTAACTTTTAAACAGTCGAAAACAAATATTGGAGATACAAGAGTAAGGCTAAAATCTTCTTCATACATTAATAATTCTAAAAAAATTCATAAAACATCTAGAAAAAGAAAAAATATTTCATCATCTGAAGAGGAAAACATTAACCTTCAACCTACATCAACTAAATCATCATCCGATAGAAATCATAGAAGATCCTCATCGTGTTCTTCTGTAGATATTTCATCATCAATTGAAAAAGCAGTGAATAAGAATTCTGTTCATCCATTGCAGAAGAAAAGAAGGTTTGTTCCAAAAGAAAAAGTTGGTGAAAAGTTCAGTTCTAACTTGAAGCATAAAAGGTTGTCCCTTACTCAGATTTGTGATACAAATAAAGATTCAGACAAGGATTACCAATCTGATATTGATGAACTTGTAGAGACCGGCCATAAGAAAAGGAGACACGTGAACACTAAAACTATTAGCAGATCTTCATCTTCCTCTTCTAAGTTGAAGCATAAAAGGTTGTCTCTGAATAGTGAAACTAAGATTTGTGATACAAATAAAGATTCAGACAAGGATTGCCAATCTGATATTGATGAACTTGTAGATACCGGCCATAAGAAAAAGAGACATGTGAACACTAAAACTATTAGTAGATCTTCATCATCATCTTCTTTAAGTTCTTCAGCATCTATTAAAACTGTTCCAAGTCGGTCTGATGAACAATCTATGACTGACAAAGGTTTTTCCACATCTAAGCTGAAAACTGAGAAAACATTTGTTTCTAATTTAAAACGCAAAAGATCTGTAAGCAATGGCTGTCTTAATTCCAATCTAAATGAAGATTCTGGTGCTGATCTTAAATTCAAGGGTAAAAACCAGAGAAGACCATCTTCAGTATCTTCTGAAAATTCTTTTATGTCTGTTGAAACAGCTTCTTCAAAAAAATTGACTGTTGGTTGCACTTCTTCCATATCATCGTCAGATGGAATTTCTCATGAAGAATTTGAGAGTGATTTTCTTGGTAAACTGAAAAAGGATAAGGCGTCTAAGCTTAAAAGAACTATGTCCTCTGAAACAAAGAATAGAAAATCTTGTATACCTTCACATTTCAAAGCTAAAAATTTCAAGATGAAGATCACAAGGGATAATGAGTTGCTGTCATTAATCACTCCGTGCCAGGTTATTTTGCACCGACTGCCTGATAATATTTGCTTTGAAAACTGGACAAGAAAGGATTCAGACTTTTTAAGACAAATTAATGCTCTTGAAAAAAGCTTATCAGTTGGGGAAAATTATGATAGCTGTAATGATCTAAATTTCTTTGAAAAAACATCATTAGTTTGTGCTGAACCTGAATTGTTAAGGAATAAAAATGCAAATTCTGATACAAGACTTTCAGCTACAATTGAACTATCTAAAGCAACCCTGAGTGATTCTTCTTCAGACAGTGAACAATCCTATGAGGAAAGCCGGTATTATAAAGAGTTTGAAAAGGAGAAAATATTTGAACAAGCTGATCTGGCTTTAGGAAAGCAGAACAATCAAGAAGAAAATTCTATCACTTCGGAAAGTGAAATTCTTTGTGACAAGAATATAGAGCAATCCTATAAGGAGCTCAAAAATTTCGAAACTTCAGAAATGAATAAAAAGAATAGTGATCTAACTGATGCAACTTGTGAAAATCAAGCAGATAACTCTATCATCTCAGGAAAAGGTGGAACTCAGTATGATCAAGATGCAGAAACTGATAAAAATCGGGAAAGTCATGAAATAGATGTTAATAACGCAAAAGGAGTAATTCAGTGTTGTGAAGTAAACAAAAATAAAGAAATAGAAAATGAACCAACTGGTTTAGGAAACTATGAGATCCAATGTAATGTAAATGATAAAAAAGGTAATAAGGGACTAAATAATTTAGCAAATTTGGAGATTTGTAGTTGTGAAACCAACCAAAAAGAAGAAAATAATAGAAGTGATGACAGATTAACAAATAAAAAAAGTTATGACGAGCTAACAAATTTAGCAAAAGAAGATATTGCATGCAGCAATGCAAACGGAGATGTTGAAGGTGATATTGAGCTAACAAAAAATTTAGCAAAAGAGGTTAATGAATGTGTCAAAGCAGACAGAAATGAAGAAAGTGATAATGAGCTAACAAATTTAGCAAAAGAGGTTAATGAATGTAGCAAAGCAGACAGAAATGAAGAAAGTGATAACGAACTTTCAATATTAGCAAAAGAGGATATTGAATGTAGCAAAGAAGACAGAAATGAAGAAAGTGATAATGAGCTAATAAATGAGGATACTGAATGTAGCAAAGTGGACAGAAATAAAGGAAGTCATAATGAGCTTTCAAAATTAGCAGAAGAGGATATTGAATGTAACAAGGCAAACAGAATTGTTGAAAGTGATATTGAGCTAACAAATTTAGCAAAAGAGGATATTGAATGTAGCAAAGTGGACAGAAATGAAGAAAGTGATGATAAAAATGATAGTGAGCTAACAAATCTTAACTGTGTTAAAATGTCCCAGGCTAGTGAAAACCTTGTTTCTTGTGAAAAAAAAGAACTTCAGAGTGTGAAAACTAATATAAATGATGAAAATAGTCGAGAAACTTCTTATAAACTTAAGCATTCAAGTTGTGAAACAAATTATGAACAGAATGATAGTTTTATAGGTTCAAATATAGAGACTCAATCTAGTGTACCAGATAAAAACTGTCAGACTGACAAGGAAATGACAACTATTAGCTGTGATAGAAAATGTGATAGTAAAAATAGTCAAGTAAATCTTGATAAACTTAAAAATTTAAATTCTAAAATCCAGGAGGGACCAGACAGTAGTTTGATAGCTGTTGCCAAAAAAGGGGTAAAAAAGAAACAAAAGAAAAATAAATTTACATCTTTAGAAAGGCAACTTATGGCCTATGCAAATCTTCAGAAGTGATAATTGATGTTTTAGTCATTTAATAATTTCATTAATTTATGATTTGTATTATGTTTGCTTAGAAATAATGTGCCTCAGAATTAAAAATCTGAAAAAGATATGATTCTTTTACTACAAATAATACATTATTAAAAAAAAATATTTGCTTTATATTTAAAGAGCGTAATATAAAAAAGTGCCTTTTTTTTTTTTTTTTTTTTTTTTTTTTTTTTTTTTCTTTTAAGAGTTAAAAAATTATAGGAGCATCTAAAGATTCATAAAACATTGTTCTCATTAAAAACTGCTTTATCTGAAATTTTTTTTTTTAGAATTTTTTTTATACCAAAACATGTTTATGTAATATAGTAAAAAGTTTTATTTAAAAATTAAAGAAATAATTATAAAACAAAATTTTCTACTTAGAAAGTTAAAAATCTGTTGTATAAAATAAACTAAGTAAGCAAAATTTTAATATTTTTTAATGCAAAAATATTTCATATCTTCCTTGTAAGTATGTCTGTAAAGTACACAATTTACTTTATTTGATCTCCTAATATTTATGGCAAATTGATATTATTTTTATTATATTAATGATTATTTAAATTATCAACTGATATGAAAATTAAATTTAGTAATGACACAAAAGCTGGATTTTTTTTACTATGTGACCCTCATTCAATAAAGGTTGTAGACCAAAAATTACTGTGTAAGAACCTATGGTACCATTTTTAAACTAAGCATTTAAAGGTTTTTTTTTTAGAATTTCACTTGTTGCTTTAAGTACATAATTAACTAATTTAAGCTTTTCATTTATTGTATATTTCAGCTCTTAAATTATAATTAATGGTCTTGTATTATTGTGGTGCTTATTAAAGAGAATGAAATAGCAGGGTTCGTTGATTTAAATCAGCTTGATTTAAATCATGATTTAAATCAAATGATTTTTTTAAAAAAATCATTGATTTAAATCAACTAATTTTTTTTATCTATATATATTGATTTTAAAAGTTAAAAAACAGTGTTTTAAATTTTTGATACTTTTATTATTTTCTTTTCTTAGTATTAAAATTTAATTTAAATAAATTGCTGCATTAATTAATTTTAGTTAACGAAATTACTTTCTTGGTGTGTGTTAAATTCCAACACATTTGAAATTACATTTTTAAAAATCTTTTGATTCTTGAGATTGAAAGTACAGATTAAAGTAAACATTTAATGCTGTCTTAATATAGACTTGCATAGCTGTAGAAAGTAATTAATAAACATGAATTTTTTTCAAAAAATAATACAAATAATGTTAATTAAAATTCTACCTTTTGAATGAAAAAGCGTGAATTAAAATCTACATCATATTTTATTGGTGGAAAATGTATATTTCTGAAGCTTGAGGTTATATTAAAAAGAAATTACCCTAATATGCCAAAAACAGAAAAAAAAAAAAAAAAAAAAGGGCTGATGAATTCAGATGTTTTTTTCCTAATATAGTGTCATTCTTCCCTTTCAAACTCTTTCAAAGTCTATTTGATGCAGTAGGGTTATTAACTGGTATTTTTTTCTCATAATATGTTTACAGTATCTTTGACATTATCTGATTTTCTATTAAGAAATTTTGTGAAAAAAAATTCAAATGAGTACATAGATTTTCTAATTTTTTTTTAAAGCTTAACTTATCTATTTCGATATAGAATTAAAAATGAATATTTCAATATAAAAATATATAGATTAAATATTTATTTATTTTTTGATGAATGACTACATTTATAAACACAGTCTGCTACATTTATTTTGTCATTTTAAAAACAAGAGAAAAAAAAAAGAGATCACAATTTTAAATTAAAGTTATGGTTTGCTAACTGAAACTTTGTTTTAATAGTTAAAGTATAGGGGTCTGTCCAAGCCAAATTTACTACTATTTAACGGTACCTTTACAAATTCAACTTTAGGAAAAGTGATAGAATAATCACACAAAATACTTTTTCTTAAAATTTTATTTTTGTGTCTCATAAGAAGCGATAAATCCATATTTTTACTATATTTGTGTTGATTTTTTAATATAATTTTTAATTTTCACAAAATAGGTACCTCTCAGAAAAACCCAGACAGACCCCTGAAGTATTCTTTAAATTCTCTATTTCATCTAGTCTTTAAATTTTAATCATGCATTTGTTTCAAAATGGTTGCTATGCATTCAAAGCCATGTATTATAATGAAAAATTATTTTAGTTAGAGCTTCTAAAATATTGTTACAATATAGTTTTAATATTAAGTTAATTTGATTAAACATTTATAATTTTTTTTAATCATAAATTAAAGTTCTTACAGTGTATTTGAATAAAAATCAAAAAAATCTGATTTAAATCAAAAATTCCGATTTAAATCAAAAAAATCTGATTATTTTGATTTTTTTTAAAAAAATCATGAACCCTGTGAAATAGTAGTTGTAAATATTGTATCTACTTAATGCTTTTGTTATGCTTATTGTGGTGCTTATAAAAGAGATCTTGAAAGAAATAGTAGTTGTAAATATTGTATCTACCTCATAAAAATGCACATCACGTTTAAAGTCAGAAGGTGGGTTTTTTAAGCTTAACCTTCTACAAACTGTTATAGTTTGAAGGAAGTTTATTTACTTATGAAAAATGTGTGAAAGAATATTTAAAACTTTTTGTATGAATTGCAATTGTGCATATTTTATGCGCACAACTGATCATAACATGTTTTTAAACAAGATTTTGAGTATTTATCAAAATGTTAAGTAAATTTTGTATGATATTGCAATTATATGTATTTTTTGTTCTGTTTTAAAATGGAATGTAATCATTGTTGAGAAAATTTACTTAAGTTGAGATGAATTTGCACTTTGAAAGAAATTATTAAATGCAAATTATAATAGTCATTAGAACATAATTTGTTCATTAAATTTTTTTAGATAAAGAAATGTGTATATGATAATATGAGAATGATAGAAGTGTGTATATGATAGTATGAGAGGGCAATTAAATTTGTATACACCCTCCCCAGGAAAAATTGAAATTCTCCATCTTCAAAATGTTTATATTTTTACAGTAATTGTCATGTCTTATTTTGAAATATGTTGGTTGGTTCTATATTTCACCACAATTCAGTGAGATGATTTCTCTGTCAAACTGAAAGGCTAGCTCGTTTTGCAGAATAGTTGTGCAGCCGCAGGAATCAACAAAAGAAATTATTAAGCTCAAAAGTAATAACTAATTTTTCTGTTTTAACCTAATCCAGATAAACCTCATTTTAGGTTAAGAGAAAATAAATTTGGCACTATTTTACAGTTTTAGAAAACACATTTTAAGTGATAAGTTGTTGTCTAGCTTTAACAGTGAAGCAAAAAATCTAAATAGTTGCTAAATTACCTTAAATAATAAAAAGTTTATTTTAGTGTATTTTTTTATTTATTAATGAGCATAATAAACCAATATCATTTTTTTTTTTATTTCCTAAGATTAACAAAGATTTTTTTTTCTGTGCAGGATTACTAAAAAGCCAGAATATTTCTGCTCCTAATTTATTTAAATAATTATTCTTCAAAACATTTATATAGCATATGTGTTACTGGTAAATTTAGAAATCTGGTATTCTACGGAATGCCTAAGCACTGTATAAAATGCCTAAAACTAGCTAGATACATTTCATATTTCACACATTTCCTTGGCATTCTATAGAATCCCTAATGAGAAACTGGCAAAGTATGAAATATCTCTCCAATTTATTTTGTATGTAATGAAATGTAATTCAAGCCTACAACATTGCAATAATTATGTTAATTTTTTATGTGAAAATTTTGTTTTCCTTAATAAAAAAGGCATAAATTTTATTTTGTACAACTTTCAATTTTCTTTAAGTACTTGGAATAATTTTTTTAATGGCACTCTCGTTATTTTTTCAGAATAATATTTGTATTTTTGAGGAATGTGTATCATTTATATAATAGCCTTATCATCAGGACCTATTTTCATTTTTACCCAAATAGCATTTGTTAGTTTGCGGAATGCCTGGGGGTTTTATGTAATAATTAACATGTTTAGTGTTTTATTTAAAGAATGTCTGGCATTACATAGAGTTCCTAGACATTCCATAGAATGCCAGTATTTCATACTTTGCTAATATATGTATATGTTTGCCTGCATAAGCAATGAATAACATTCTGCATTAGCCACTTCATGGAATGGAATGTTTTTTTTTTTTAAATTCATTGCTTTGTTCTTTCTTTATTTTTTTTTTTACTGCAGACAATAAATTAAAATTGCCTTATTTTTATACTCAATTTTGTTCTTTACTGTATAAAAGTATACCGAAGTTTGATTCACCAAGGTAATAAGTTAAGTTGTCTGTTTCTTAAAGAAAATAACAAAAAATTGAAACTTATGTCTTTTCATTATGCGAAATGCATGATGCTTAATTATGTGCCACTTATTATACAAGAAGCTCATTAAAAGCTCTATTTTTAAGGAGCATGATAAACCATGAACGTAAACCATTTTTCTATAAAGGATTTTTTACAGGCAAATCAAAAATTCTTTTGTTAGTGTTTTTAAATAATTGTTCTTCAAAACATTTATGTAGTTATATAAGTAATGTGTATATGTGATGAATTATTCAGATTATTATTCAGATCAAGGAAATGTTGTTGCTTTTTATCGTTTATTTTATTTTTCTCTGAGGACAAATAATGTCTTATTTTTAGGTTAAGTTGTAGTTTAAGTTTTGAATTTGAAAATTTACTATAAAACATTTATTGAAATTCCATTGTGTGATAAATTTTGAAATGCATTTGTTATAAAATCTAATTTTTTTTAACTGTTATTACTACCCATTTGTAGTAAGCAATTTTTCTTTATTTTTTAATTTTATGATCCTTATTATTTTCATTATCATTTTCTTATTTGCAATGTATTTTGATGTCTGGCATAAGCCTTTAATTTGAGTTAATATTATGTAAGAAATTTATGCTTTCTACCGAAGAAAATGTTTTTTTTTTATTGCAAAGTGTGCAATAATTTTTGTTGAATAAAAGTTAGATTTTAATGTAAATTTTAATTTTGTTGGAATAACATAACCTGACTGGAAAAAAATTTAAAAGTAATTCTTGAAAAAAACTTATTTTTAATA